TTTCCTACAAAATCAACCATTTACAAGCTGCTGACAACTAAATAAAGCATGGTCAGCAGCCAAAATTATTCGTAAAACATCAAATCTAATTTAAAGAAAAAATTCTTGACTTTTTTGACTTCATGCAAAGGAAAATAAGGGTCTCAACTCAATTCTAATCTAAGATTCTGTTCAAGCCCAAGGCTTAGAAAAGCTTAAGAAAATAAATAATTTTCACCCCAGAACTGTTGAAAAAATTATGAAAGCAGAATTAGTAGGTAATGGACCCAAAAATTATTCTTTATTTCTAAACTGAACAAGAATAATAGGAAGAAGAGCACCGTCTTCTAAGGTTCCCTCACCCACATGAAGGTGGGTTTGAGTCCAAAACAAACACTTTACGCAAACAGAGCCTGGTGCGCCCCAGGTTGATTATACCAACGAGAGCTTCTTTTCTGCATTTTAAATTTAATGGACATGTTACTTGCTACTCATATTCATTTAAAAAAGATGGCACTTTTGTATTTTAGGTTGCACTCCAAAACACACATTTTGACGACACATGTGTGTCCACATCTCACATTAGGTTAACAGGAGGATATCAGCTCACCACAGAACTAGAAGAAGAAAGAAGAGAGGAAAGAGAAGAGAGAGAGGAGAGAGAGAGGAAAATAGTCATGTACCGATGAGCAGAGAGCAACGACGGTGAGTGGAGAGCAACAAGGGCGAGGCAGTGCCGATCGACAAGGCGGAGAAGGAGGAACAAGAACAAAGAGCAGCGGCGATGATGAATGGATAAGATGTTTGGGTGTCAATTAGGTTTGATTAAGAAATTATTTTGTGTGTGTGTCTGTGTGTGAGTGTTATACATTTGGTGTGAGTATATGTAAACTGGGGCCGGGTCGGCTTATTAGGTGGGTTAGCCATTTTCAAACTGCTACCGCCGCGCACACGCTGGAAGCCCAAACCGCCGCTAAGAAATGAAAAAATGCGCGGTTCGGTGTAGTTTGGAGCGATTTTAACGGTTTTGACGGTATTGTGCACAACCTTAGGTGGAGTAATGAAGTAAAGCATGGATAGTTGTGTACAAAAAATTTATTGATTTGTTTATAAGTAAATTTGTTCACATTTTAAATAAGAAAATAGATATCAATTTTGGTCCTTATATTTTTATTTAGATCAATTTTAACTTTTAATAAATTTTGTGTCAATTCGGTACAATTTATGATACCGTTCACTTTGCTTAGCTACACTTTTCCAATAACACTTTCAGAAAATTCTACTTTCTTGTTTACTGTGTTTTTTGTTTTACTGAATTTTTAAATATTTTAAACATTTTTTTTTACTTTTTAGACATACCTAACATAATATACCTAAAAGTAAAAAATTTGTAAAAAAATGTTTTAAAAATTCACTAAATACCAAAAATATAAAAAAAAATACAAAGAATTCAATCATTTTTGTATTTTCATGTATTTATTAATTTTTTAAAATATTTTTCACAATTTTTTTTACTTTTTAAATACATCTAAGTAAGGGTGCCACAATAAAGTAAAAAAAATGTTTTAAATTTTAAAAATATTCACTAAAAAATAAAAAAAACAAGAAAATCGAAAAACCTCAGTTTTCAGAAAACTTAATCCAAAAAACTTAAACCAAACACTAGCTGTTATTTTTGACCAAAATGATCACTGAAAATTAACATCACCGAGTTGAGCAAATTTATTATTTTGCCTCTAAAAGAATGATCAATATGTCACTTACATACATTTTGTCATTAACAAATGCTAAAATTAGGGCAAATTACACTATTAGTCCATCTATTTTCGCTATTGTATCATTTTAATTTTTGTAATTTCAATTGAATCGATTTTAAATTAATTTTTGTATTTTTTCTCAAATTGGTCCAATTGATAGAGATGTTATATTGAGTTCAATTTATTTTTTGACATTAGATAGCTTAGAAAATTTTTAGCTTTGTGGCATTTCTCAAAATGCCATAAATATTTGTTTATGACACTTTTCACTTAATACCATAAAAAGTAACTTACGCCTACTTAGTTAGTGATATTTTTATAAAATGCCATGCTCAAAAATTTTAGTGACATTTTTTGATAAATGTCACGAAAATAATTTCTTGTGTCATTGTTTTATAAAATGCCTTAAAATTTAATACTATTAGATCACATTTTTGTTTGTAGTGATGTAGCACTTGTTTGTTGAAATGTCATTAAAACTTTTATGTTTGTGGCTCTATGGTATTTTTCTAAACATGCCACAAAATATTCTTTTTGTAACATTTGTTAAAAACATGCCACTAGTATAGTGCCAATAAAGTGTTTTTTATTGTAGTGCGTACGCCTTTGAAATTAGTTGTGTCATGTATTTGTTCAAAATAGTAAGAAAAATTAGTGTTTGCTATAGTTTTAGTTGTTTAAATTCTGAAAAAAAAAACTTTTTTCCATCAAATTAGTTTTAACAACAATTGATTTGTATAATCTCTCTAATTGAATCACATAAACAAAAATTAAAAACTTTAAAAATTAAATAGTGAAATTAATAATTTAAAATTGAAATAAAAAATTAATAATAATTTCAGTAATAAAAGTGAAATTAATATTTTAAAAACAGCATTGCCTTGATTGATGACATCAAGTAATAGTTAGGTTGTAATTATGGCTCGTCCCGAGCTTGGGCCAGCCATGGCGGGTCTCACGGTTCCCGCCTCTTTGGTGGGGTAGGGGTCAAAAGTCAGAATAGAGACTATCGTCGGGCCTGAAGGACTTTTTTTTTTTTTTTTTGAAAAAATGAACGATAAATATTAATATACTAGTAGTTTAGTTAAGATTAATGAGATGTTTGGTTATGTTTCTGTGTGGTGGTATTTGAACTTAATTATGTATGACTTGTGTTTTTTTTGTTATGAACTTATGACTAAACAATTATGAAATTACGTATTTTTTTCTTTTGAAATGAATAACTTATATATATATATATATATATATATCAAAATGAAATTCAATATTACAATCATAAATTAAATATATAACATCTATTGCATGTCTATTTTCTCTCTCTCTCTCTCTCTCTCTCTCTTTCCTCTCTCTCTTTCTTCTTCTAGTTCTGTGGTGAGCTTGGATATCCTCCTGTTAACCTAATGTGAGATGTGGCCATAATTACAACCCTAACTATTACTTGATGTCATCAATCAAGGCAATGCTGTTTTAAAAATATTAATTTCACTTTTATTACTGAAATTATTATTAATTTTTTATTTCAATTTTAAATTATTAATTTCATCTATTTAATTTTTAAAGTTTTTAATTTTTGTTTATGTGATTCAATTAGAGATGATTATACAAATCAATTGTTGTTAAAACTAATTTGATGGAAAAAAGTTTTTTTTTTTCAGAATTTAAACAACTAAAACTATAGCAAAACACTAATTTTTCTTACTATTTTGAACAAATTACATGACACAACTAATTTCAAAGGCGTACGCACTACAATAAAAAAACACTTTATTGGCACTATACTAGTGGCATGTTTTTAACAAATGTTACAAAAAGAATATTTTGTGGCATGTTTTAGAAAAATACCATAGAGCCACAAACATAAAAGTTTTAATGACATTTCAACAAACAAGTGCTACATCACTACAACAAAAATGTGATCTAATAGTATTAATTTTAAGGCATTTTATAAAACAATGACACAAGAAATTATTTTCGTGACATTTATCAAAAAATGTCACTAAAATTTTGTAGCAATGGCATTTTATAAAAAATATCACTAAACTAAGTAGGCGTAAGTTACTTTTATGGTATTAAGTGAAAAGTGTCATAAACAAATATTTTATGGCATTTTGAGAAATGCCACAAAGCTAAAAATTTTCTAAGCTATCTAATGTCAAAAAATAAATTGAACTCAATATAACATCCTATCAATTGGACCAATTTGAGAAAAAATACAAAAATTAATATTAAAATCGATTCAATTGAAATTACAAAAATTAAAATGAATACAATAGCGAAAATAGATGGACTAATAGTGTAATTTGCCCTAATTTTAGCATTTGTTAATGACAAATATGTATGTAAGTGACATATGTCATTCTTTTAGAGGCAAAATAATAAATTTGCTCAACTCGGTGAGTTAATTTTCAGTGATCATTTTTGGTCAAAAATACTAACCAGTGTGTTTGGTTTAAGTTTTTTGGATTAAGTTTTCTGAAAACTGAGTTTTTCGATTTTCTTGTTTTTTTATTTTTAGTGAATATTTTTAAAATTTTAAACATTTTTTTTTACTTTTTTAGATGCACCTTACTTAGATGTATTTAAAAAGTAAAAAAATTGTGAAAAAATATTTTAAAAAATTAATAAATACATGAAAATACAAAAAATGTATTGAATTCTTGTATTTTTTTTTTATATTTTTGGTATTTAGTGAATTTTTAAAACATTTTTTTACAAATTTTTTACTTTTTAGGTATATTTATGTTAGGTATGTCTAAAAAGTAAAAAAAAAATGTTTAAAATATTTAAAAAATTCAGTAAAACAAAAAAACACAGTAAACAAGAAAGTAGAATTTTCTGAAAAGTGTTATTGGAAAAGTGTAGCTAAGCAAAGTGAACGGTATCATAAATTGTACCGAATTGACACAAAATTTATTAAAAGTTAAAATTGATCTAAATAAAAATATAAGGACCAAAATTGATATCTATTTTCTTATTTAAAATGTGAACAAATTTACTTATAAACAAATCAATAAATTTTTTGTACACAACTATCCATGCTTTACTTCATTACTCCACCTAAGGTTGTGCACAATACCGTCAAAACCGTTAAAATCGCTCCAAACTACACCGAACCGCGCATTTTTTCATTTCTAGCGGGCGGTTTGGGCTTCCAGCAGTGGCGGGTAGCAGTTTGAAAATGCTAACCCACCTAATAAGCCGACCCGGCCCCCAAGTTTACATATACTCACACCAAATGTATATACACTCACACACAGACACACACACAAAATAATTTCTTAATCAAACCTAATTGACACCCAAACATCTTATCTCATTCATCATCGCCGCTGCTCTTTGTTCTTGTTCCTCCTTCTCGCCTTGTCGATCGGCACTGCCCTCGCCCTTGTTGCTCTCCACTCACCGTCGTTGCTCTCTGCTCATCGGTACATGACTATTTTCTCTCTCTCTCTCTCTCTCTCTCTCTTTCCTCTCTCTCTTTCTTCTTCTAGTTCTGTGGTGAGCTTGGATATCCTCCTGTTAACCTAATGTGAGATGTGGACACACATGGTCAAAATGTGTGTTTTGGGAGTGCAACCTAAAATACAAAAGTGCCATCTTTTTTAAATGAATATGAGTAGCAAGTAACATGTCCATTAAATTTAAAATGCAGAAAAGACAGCTTCTTGTTGGTATAATCAACCTGGGGCACCAGGCTCTGTTTGCGTAAAGTGTTTGTTTTTGGACTCAAACCCACCTTCATGTGGGTGAGGGAACCTTAGAAGACGGTGCTCTTCTTCCTATTATTCTTTGTTCAGTTTAGAAATAAAGAATAATTTTTGGGTCCATTACCTACTAATTCTGCTTTTCATAATTTTTTCAACAGTTTCTGGGTGAAAATTATTTATTTTCTTAAGCTTTTCTAAGCCTTGGGCTTGAACAGAATCTTAGATTAGAATTGAGTTGAGACCCTTATTTTCCTTTGCATGAAGTCAAAAAAGTCAAGAATTTTTTCTTTAAATTAGATTTGATGTTTTACGAATAATTTTGGCTGCTGACCATGCTTTATTTAGTTGTCAGCAGCTTGTAAATGGTGTATTTTGTAGGAAAGATTTGCCATGGATTAGTAGTGATTTTAGTCAATAAATGGAGTAAAGAGCTTCTAATTCTTGAAGTTTGACATTTATGTGGATTAAATAATTAAATCAACTGCTTAAAAAGCAAAAACACAATTCATTTCAAGTCCATAATATTTAAAAACACAATCCATAATATTGCTGAAAATTAATTTGAAACAGGCTTTCTCAGCTTTAAATATTTTTACTTATCATCATTGTAAATTTTTTTATTTTGTACTAGATAATAGACTAGAGAAATACAAGTAAAAATTGTTTTGATGGTCGCAACCCTCCTACACCAATCCAAGTCCCAACTGCAGAATCAACTACTGTTGCTAGTTCTTGACGCTAGACTTAATTCTTATTCTTGAAATTATTGTTAAGTTTGATGATTAGATTAACTTTTAGTTTACTAGTTTGTCAATGTTTAAGGCTAGATTAGATGAATGAAAATCTATTTTAATTTTGACTATTTTCGTTAATATATAAATTAGATCTTTTTACTCTTTAATTCAAATTTTGTAATTTGAATTATGTTTTTTTTATAAATCATCAATCTGCCCGAACTGTCAAGTTGAAACCACAATTATTTGCCAACTGAACCGCCAGTTTTTTGTAAGAAAAATGACAATCTCTAGTAACATTTTTATCAATCTGCCACCCGCTATATGGTTTCTATTTTACTCTTAAACCATATTGACCCACACTATGCAAACTCCTCCTCCACCTGTTTTTATATTATGAAACAAAAGAAATAAGGAAACATGACAAAAAGGCAAAGAGATAGAACCTGTAGAGCAAAATTTATAGAGCAGCTAGGGTTAGAGACAAAAAGGCAAAAGAGATCAGTTAGAGAGAAAGAGAGATGGGCAGTTCGGATTTTTATTCCCATTGATTGATTTACTTATAGGGAATCATATATTTTTCCTAACAACTGGTATCAGAGCTTACGGTTTATTTGAGTTTATTTATTTGTGTAAATTAATGGAGGGGAATATGGGTCCTATGTCTAGCTTCAATGGAAGCAATTGGGTAACTTGAAAAACTAAAATAGATGACCTATTATTTTGTAAAGATTTGTATGGGCCTATTGAGGGTGATAGTGGCAAATCTGATGGTATGAAAGATTATGAATGGAAGAGGCTTAATCGAAAAGCCGTTGGTGTTATCCATCAATGGATCAATGACAGTGTGTTTCATGATATTGCTACTGAAACTTCAGCACATAATTTATAGAAAAAATTAGAAGGCCTTTATGATGGAAAATCAGCCACAAATAAAGTTTTTCTGTTTTGTAAGTTGGTTAATTTAAAATATTAAGATGGCAGCCACATTCCGAAACATTTGAATGAAATAAAGAGTACTGTTAACCAACTTGCTTCTATGAAAATTATTTTTTATGATGAATTGCAGGCTTTGTTGCTACTTAATTCTTTGCCTGAAAGTTGGGACACTTTGGTTGTGACGGTTAGTAATTCAACGCCTGATGGAGCTGTCACAATGAGCCAAGTCACTAGTAGCTTATTTAATGAAGAAACTAGAAGAGAATCAGCGAGTTCCTCTCATCTAGAAGCATTTGTCATGAGAGGCCAAAGCAAAATAAGGGGAAGGAATAAGACTCCTCATTGTCGTGATCAAAGCCATGACAAATCAAAAAATGGTTCCTTTTCAAATAAAGACATTGAGTGCCATTATTTCCATGAGAAATGGCATATGAAGCAAGAATGTCGAAAGCTCAAGAACAAGGAGAAAAAGCATGACAAAAGTGTGGATAAGAAGTAAGAAGACACAACAGCGGTTACTATCGATGATTTCATGATCGTTTGTGAAGATGATTGTATCAATTTTGTGGGCCGAGAGAGCAATTGGGTGATTGATTCCGATGCTTCTTTTCATGTGACTTCTCGAGTTGATTTCTTCACTACCTACACCAAAGGAGATTATGGTTGTGTTCAAATGGGTAATGAAGGTTTGTCCAAGATTATAGGCATGGATGATGTTTGCTTGAAAACAAATTTGGGCTACAAGTTGTTGCTTAAAGATGTGAAGCATGTTCCCGACATTCGTCTGAATTTGATCTCTATCTGAAAGCTAGATGATGAAGGCTACAACAACAAATTTGGTGATAGAATATGGAAGCTCACAAAGGGTTCTTTGGTGGTGGCTAAGTGCAAGAAGACTCACACACTTTATTCGATGCAAGGAAAAATTTGTGAAGGTGTTGTCAATGCACTTGAAGATGATCCTTCTACCGAATTATGGCACAAGCAGCTTGGGGACATGAGTAAAAAGGGACTGCAAGTTTTGTTCAAGAAAGAGCTTTTATCCAATTTGAAAGGTACACATCTTAAAACTTGTGTTCATTGTTTGGCAGATAAACAACATAGGGTTTCTTTTCATAAAAATGTTGCTTCTAGAAAAGAAAATGTTTTGGAGTTGATTCATTTGGATGTTTGTGGTCCTTTGAAAATTAGAACACATAGTGGTGCACTATATTTTGTTACTTTCATTGATGATTATTCAAGGAAAGTTTGGACTTTTATACTAAAAACTAAAGATCAAGTTCTAGATGTATTTAAACATTTTCAAGCCATGGCTGAAAGAGAAACAGGGCATAAATTGAAGTGCATCCGAATAGACAATGGTGGTGAATACATTAGGTCATTTGATGAGTATTGTCGTAGCCAAGGTATTTGGCACCAAAAGACAATTAAGAAGACTCCTCAACAAAATAGCATTGTCGAGAGAATGAACCGCACCATTATGGAAAGAATAAGGTGTCTTCTTTCACATGCTAAATTGCCAAGATCCTTTTGGAGTGAGGCAATGAGGACAGCGGTTGACGTGATCAATTTATCGCTTTCCTATCCTTTGAATGGTGATGTCCCAGAAAGAGTTTGGACCGGTAAGGATGTGTCTTATGAGCACTTGAGAGTGTTTGGTTGCCGAGCTTTTGTTCACATTCCAAAAGATGAGAGGTCTAAGCTTGATAGCAAGTCAAGACAATGTATTTTTTTTGGCTATGGGCATGATGAATTTGATTATAGATTGTGGGATCTGGTTGACAAGAAAGTCATTTGAAGCCATGATGTTGTATTTTTTTGAAGACCAAACAATTGAAGACTTTGGCAAAGGTGATCAACTGGAGCGTAAAAGTAGTGATCTCATTGACATAGCTCCATCTCCTTCATCTTTGGTGGATGATGAAATTGGAGGAGATGGGCAACCACCTATTGAAGATGTAGAGGATGATGCTAATCCTAATGAAGTTGAGCCCGAAATTAAGAAAGAGCATCCAACTCAAAAATCGCCACTACAACTTGAGTTCAGGAAATCTACAAGGGACCAACAACCTTCGAAAAAGTATTCTTCCAATGAATTTGTGTTGATATCCAATCAAGGGAAGCCCGAGAGCTACCAAGAAGTAATTAAGCATGCAAATAAAGGTGTTTGGAAAAAGGCCATGAAAGAGGAAATGAATTCCTTACTTAAAAATCATACTTATGATCTGGTGAAGTTGCCTAAGGGGAGGAAAATTCTGAAAAAAAAAGTGGGTCTTCAAATTGAAGAATGATGGCAAGAATCTATGATACAAGGCACGCCTTGTTGTGAAAGGCTTTGGGCAAAAGAAATGTATTGACTGGGACAAGATTTTCTTGCCAGTTGTGAAGATGTCTTATATTCGTGTTGTACTTGGCATGGCCGCAAGTATGAACCTTGAAGTTGAGCAATTTGATGTGAAGACTGCATTTCTTCATGGTGACCTTGAAGAAAAAATTTACATGGAGCAATCGAAAAGTTTTGTAGAGAAAGGGAAAGAAAAATTTGTTTGAAAATTGAAAAAAAGTTTGTATGGCCTCAAGAAAGCCTCACGGCAATGATACAAAAAATTTGACTCTTTCATGATGAATAATGGTTTTCTAAAACCATTTCAGACCATTGTGTGTTTGTGACAAATTTTTCAGATGGTAAATTTATTATTTTTTTGCTTTATGTTGATGACATGTTAATTGTGGGTTAAGATTACACTATGATTAACAGGTTGAAAAACAAATACTTGGCATGAAAATTGTTCATGATCACAAAAAGGGGTTGATTTGGTTGTCTTAAGAAAACTACATTGAAAAAGTTCTTGAGAGATTCAACATAGATAAAGCAAAGTTGGTTGGTTGTCCCTTTGCGGGTCACTTCAAACTTAGTTCGAATCAATGTCCTACAAGTGAAAAAGATAAGGAAGAGATGTAGAAAATTCTTTATGCTTCAACGGTTGGTTCTTTGATGTACGCCATAGTTTGTACAAGACCAAATATTACTCATGCCGTTGGTGTGGTGAGTCATTTTCTCTCTAATCCGGGTAAAAAACATTGGGCAGTGGTAAAATGGATTCCAAGGTATCTTCGAGGGATTTCGAAAGTGTGTTTGTGTTTTGGGAATGGTAAGCCGATGCTTAATGGGTTCATAGATTCTGACAAGGCCAGTGATGTTGATTCTAGAAAATCTATTTCGAGGTATTTGATGACATTTACAAGGGGAGTTGTGGCATGACAATCTAAATTACAAAAATATGTTGCTCTCTCAACTACCGAAGGTAAATTTATCGCCATTACATAAGCTTGCAAAGAAGAGTTATGGTTGAAATTTTTTTTGCAAGAGTTGGGTTTGAAGAAAGAAAGGTATGTGATTTATTGTGATAGTCAAAGTGCTATTCATTTGAATAAAAGTTTCACTTTTCATTCTAAATTGAAACACATTGATGTGAGATACCATTGGATTCGTGATGTGTTAAATTCGAAATTATTACAACTCGAAAAGGTTCACATAGATGATAATACTTCGAATATGTTGATTAAGACTTTGTCGAGGGACAAACATTTAAAGTGTCGAACTTTGGCGAGTATGGTTGATTTCTCCACCTAAGTCGGTAGGGGGAGAATTGCTTGGTATACCTCCTTATTGGAGTATGGAACCTGTACGGGGAGCAAATATTCCGACAAGCCGTATTCCTTTCTTCCAAGCTCCGTTTCTGTCCGATCACCTGCGAGCACAACAGCGGTGAGCTACCCGGCGGTGTGTGGCCGGAAAACTCCTCCGACGGTCAAGTTAGAACACACACAGGGGATAGATAGAGAGAAGGGAGAGTGTTGAGTGTAAGTATTTCTCTTACCAAATGTTCATCTGTCCGCGTATGGGGGGCGCAGACCCGCTTATATACCTTCTGCGCCCCAAATCTACTCTCATTAGTCTCTCGACACCAGGTGCTGCTATCCCATTTGTCAGCACAAATCACGCTGAACATCACCTAACCCAACTGCCAGCCCACTCTATTGGGAGCTCGGCAGCCGGGCTGCAGCTTCTCGGCTGCCAACAGCCATACTGCACTTCAAGACCAAGTGCTTCCAATAACCGAGCTTCGTTTCAGCCGTGTTCGACCGCATTCCGGCGACGCCGAGCACGGGATTGGTCATTCCGGTCAACCAAAGGCCTTCCTGCCGAGCTTCAGGCATGAATCTTCATGCCGAGCTATGGGTGCGCGCCTTCCGACCGAGCAACGCACGAACCGTGAAGCCCTTCTAGGCAGCAGACGTCTCAGCCGAGCTCTCACTTGACCGGCCTTCATACCAAAGAGCCCAAGTAGCTCGGCTCCGCAGGCCCTTTGCCATTATTGAGCAAAACCACGGCACAATCTTGAAGCCAAATACCTCGGCCAAATCTTGTTTGGCCGAAACTAGATCATAAATCTCCATCTCAATTGCCCCTTAATTCCGTCCGCGCTAGCGTGACTGGGATTACATTTCAAGGCCGGGCTAGGCTTTTTGCTTGGTGATCCACTTTCTTCGGCAAGGAACTCCAAGGAAGGTGAGCAAAGTCCGCTCGGCGACTTCCCTCATGGCGAGCAAGATCAGCTCGACCAAGGAACTCCAAAGAAGGTGAGCAAGGTCCACTCCGCCACTTCCTTCTGGGCGGACAAGATCAGCTCGGCCAAGGAACTCTAAAGAAGGGGAGCAAGGTCCGCTCCGCGACTTCCTTCTTGGCAGACAAGATCAGCTCGGCCAAGGAACTCCAAAGAAGGCGAGTAAGGTCCGCTCCGCGACTTCTTTCTTGGCGGACAAGATCAGCTCAGCCAAGGAACTCCAAAGAAGGAGAGCAAGGTCCGCTTCGCCTCTTCCTTCTTGGCGGACGAGATCAGCTCGGCCAAGGAACTCCAAAGAAGGGGAGCAAGGTCTGCTCCGCGAATTCCTTCTTGACGGACAAGATCAGCTCGGCCAAGGAACTCCAAAGAAGGCGAGCAAGGTCCGCTCCGCCTCTTCCTTCTTGGCGGACAAGATCAGCTCGGCCAAGGAACTCCAAAGAAGGCGAGCTAGGTCCGCTCCGCGACTTAGGCGAGCAACATTAACTCGGCTGAAACTTTGGAGTTGAACAAATCATCAACCCGTCAGCGGGAGCAAATCAACTCGGTTGGAACCTCGGAGTGGAACAAATCATCAACTCGCCAGCCGGAGTAAAACATCTCGGCTGGAACCTCGCAGTTGAGCAAATCATCAACTCTTCAGCCGGAGTAAAACATCTCGGCTGGAACCTCGCAGTTGAGCAAATCATCAACTCTTCAGCCAGAGTAAATCATCTCAGCTGGACCCTCGGAGTCGAGCAAATCATCAACCCGTCAGCCAGAGTAAAACATCTCGGCGGGAACCTCGCAGTTGAGCAAATCATCAACTCTTCAGCCGGAGTAAATCATCTCGGCTGGACCCTCGGAGTTGAGCAAATCATCAACTCTTCAGCCGGAGTAAAACGTCTCGGCTGGACCCTCGGAGTTGAGCAAATCATCAACCCGTCAGCCAGAGTAAAATATCTCGGCTGAACCCTCGGAGTTGAGCAAATCATCAACCCGTCAGCCGGAGTAAATCATCTCGGCTGGAACCTCGGAGTTGAGCAAATCATCAACTCTTCAGCCGGAGTAAATCATCTCGGCTGGAACCTCGGAGTTGAGCAAATCATCAACTCTTTAGCCGGAGTAAATCATCTCGGCTGGAACAAAAGAGTAGGCCCCTCATCTGCTATTATTTTGGACACAACAAAGCTCTTCAGCAAAAGTAATTCACTTCTATCACATTGACAAAAAGAGCATTTGCATTCAGAAGTGTAGGGGAAACAAGTCCCTCAAAAAATTACATAAGGCCGCATTCCATGGCCGGGGTACGCCTTTGCCATCCAAATCTTCTAAGTGGTATGTCCCCTTACCCGCCAGTCTGGTTATCTTGTAAGCCCTGTTTGTCTGTTGCCACCGGTGTTGTCTTCGCGGTGGACGCCGCTGCATCATCCTCTACTCGGATGTGCTCATTGATACGCTGCATTAGTTGCCCCATGGATGGCGGCTGTTTCATTGTAAGCGAGTCCCTCAGCCTATGTCCGACCGGGAGACCGCGCTTGTATTGGGTGATTGCTAGGTTGACCGGGCAATCCAAGATCTCGTTGAAGGTTTCCCAATATCTAGAGTTGTATGCCTTCAGTGTGTCGCTCGGCTCCATCTTGACACTGAGAAGGTGGTCAACTTCCTTTGGCGTTTTGGTGTTTGTTTTGAAGCGCGTCACAAAAGCCTCGGCCAACTGTCGCCACCTTTCTATGCTCCCCTCCGGCAGCCTCTCAAACCATTTCAAGCCCAGCTCGCCCAAACTTGACGGGAAGATAAGGCACATAAGAGCGTCATTCCGCCTATGTCCGGCCATGACCTGTCGGAAGTGGCTTACATGCATATAGGGATCGATTTTTCCATAGTAAAGCGTGAACTTAGGCTGGTGGAAGCCCGCGGGAAACGGTGTTATTTCTATCCCCACGGAGAAAGGGATGGCACTCAGCTTTGCCAAGTCTGTGTCTAGAAAGAGAGGCGCAGCTAGGCGAGGTGGAGGCATTCCGACCTCTTCACTGGCGTGAACCCCATAGGATAGCCGCTGGAACGCCGGCACCCTCTGAGCCTCCCGTCGGCGAGCCCGTTCCTTCAAGACTACCCGCAAATACTCTGAACGAGCGGAATAAGAATACCTCGACGTCGTCGCTGGACGTGAGGGTTGATAGGTGCTGTCTTGCGCGCTGGACTTCTCTACGTGCGCGTCGGAATCTTCAACCTTGTAACTTCTGGTGATTGAGATGGACGGAGTACGCCGCTGGCTCTGACTGCTTGAACGGCGGGGTCGGGTGCGCTCACTGTGGTCTCCCACTCCAGCTACACCCTTCCCTTTGACATCTCGCTTAAGATCCTCCATCTCCGCCGCCATTCTCCGGATGACGGCGTCTTGGTCCCTTAGCTTGTGTTCCAGTCGCCTGGCGTGCGATTCTCTCCGTCGCCGGTGACCGTTTGGACTCCGTGAATGTCCAAAGCTTCTTTCGCGCTTATCCCGCGCGTCTCTTGAATGTCCTCTTGGAGAAGTTTCCAGGTCCGCTATAGGAGGAATGGCAGGATGTCCTTCTCTCCGTCTGCCTGACTCCGGGGTAACTCCGTCGATGGCGGACAACGGAAACTCATCGTTGTTCGCCATGGACGGCGATCAGATGAGCGTGGAAGACAAGGTTTTATCTGCAAAGTTCCCACAGACGGCGCTAATTGTACGGGGAGCAAATATTCCGACAAGCCCGTATTCCTTTCTTCCAAGCTCCGTTTCTGTCCGATCACCTGCGAGCACAACAGCGGTGAGCTACCCGGCGGTGTGTGGCCGGAAAACTCCTCCGACGGTCAAGTTAGAACACACACAGGGGATAGATAGAGAGAAGGGAGAGTGTTGAGTGTAAGTATTTCTCTTACCAAATGTTCATCTGTCCGCGTATGGGGGGCGCAGACCCGCTTATATACCTTCTGCGCCCCAAATCTACTCTCATTAGTCTCTCGACACCAGGTGCTGCTATCCCATCTGTCAGCACAAATCACGCTGAACATCACCTAACCCAACTGCCAGCCCACTCTATTGGGAGCTCGGCAGCCGGGCTGCAGCTTCTCGGCTGCCAACAGCCATACTGCACTTCAAGACCAAGTGCTTCCAATAACCGAGCTTCGTTTCAGCCGTGCTCGACCGCATTCCGGCGACACCGAGCACGGGATTGGTCATTCCGATCAACCAAAGGCCTTCCTGCCGAGCTTCAGGCATAAATCTTCATGCCGAGCTATGGGTGCGCGCCTTCCGACCGAGCAACGCACGAACCGTGAAGCCCTTCTAGGCAGCGGACGTCTCAGCCGAGCTCTCACTTGACCGGCCTTCATACCAAAGAGCCCAAGTAGCTCGGCTCCGCAGGCCCTTTGCCATTATTGAGCAAAACCACGGCACAATCTTGAAGCCAAATACCTCGGCCAAATCTTGTTTGGCCAAAACTAGATCATAAATCTCCCTCTCAGGACCCAATTGGTTTACTAAAATATTTAGTTTGGTTTGGTGTTGGTTATAATATATTTTTAATATATTATACCTAATTTTTAGAGGTCCATTGGGTATTTTATATTCAGCTTGGTAGTAGCTAGGGTTTGATAAAAAATTCCAAGAGTCTACAATATATTTGGTATTGTTTTGTATTTTCCAGAGAGTGTGTAGCAGCTGTGGAAAATTGATACATTATTCGGTGGAATCAAATTTGGGTGTGTGATAGTGATGTTGTTTGGTTTTTGGTTTAGTCAAATCCAGTGCTTTGTGCTTTTGTTTCGGCTTTACTTTGAAGCTGATTCGGTTCGTTGATTTGGGTTTTCTTTAACTTTGTTTCGAAGATTTTTGTTTGCCTATTTGGTGAGGTCTTTCTAAGGGTGGTTTTGTGAGACTATTAGTGTCTCATTTGTAATCGTTTGGAAACTCTTTGGTTGATAGTGGAATCGGATTTCGATTCTGTGGACGTACCTCACATTGAGAGAACCACGTAAAATTCTTGTGTCGTTGTTGATTTAATTTTTTCGCATTAGTTTTTATTTCCATTGATTGATTTACTTCTGAAGAATCATATATTTTCCCTAACAGGAACAGGTGTGGTTGATTGTAGTGTTGAAACAATTGTCTGGGTTCGACGACAGAATGACTCATGGTGGCCTGGTAAGATTCTCGGTCCTGAGGAGCTCTCAACTGCTCATCTCATGTCTCTACGATCAGGGACTCCAATCAAGCTTCTTGGAAGGGAAGATGCCAACGTGTAGTTCTGTTTGTTCCGTCTCTCTCTTTCTCCCTCTCTATGTGTGCGTGGGTGTGTATACATGATATATGCACATTACACTTAAATCTTGTGATTACATTTTTTTAGTCATGTTCATTTGCTCATTGCTGTAAATTGACTGTGGTTTGTGAATTTTTGGGTATTTGTTTAAGCTTTGCATGATCAACTGTTGTGATTAATGGGTTCATCAATATTTATTGAATGGTTGTTAATGACATCGATGGATGGTACATATCGTGTTGATATTTTATGTTTGTTACAGCAGGAAGGGTGCTTTTTTTTTCCTTTTTTTTGTGGATAAATAGCAGGAAGAGTGCCTTATCAGTATGAATCTGCAAATTGTCTTGAGTAGAGTTGTTATATAATTAGGCCATGGATATTTTATGCCCATATGATAATTGTTTGGAGGGTGTGCCATTCTTTCTCATTGTGATGGTTTGATGTGTGGGTGGGGGTTGAAGTTGTGCTTCAAATCTTCTTTTCATTTCATAACGATTAAAATAAACAATGCTCTCTTGAATTATTAGATTGAAGATGTGCGTGATAGCTTAATGGTAGGCAAAGATTGGTCACTAGCTTTGTAGAAAATAGTTTGGGATAAAGACATCTTAGTTATTAGGCCCTTATTGGTGCAACTGGAAGGGGCTAAGACAAGTCCAAAAGCTAATTGGCTGAACTCAATGATAAATATACTTTGTGCACCCCCCTGCTGCATGTTTTGTCCTCCAGGCTTTCCATCTTCTCAATTACCCAGTCTGTTGCATCTTTCTCCATCCCATTTAAAGCACAAAAGTAGGTTTCCCCCTACCGTCACACTACAAAATTTGATTGGTCATTGGCAATTCTACGGTTAGGATTTTGTTTTTTGGGGGACTTACTAACAGTCTGGGACACTGATTAGTTGAATGTTTTCTTTCCACATATCAAGAAGGAAATTCTTCATATTATTTATCAATTAAATATACTGATATTTATGATTTGTTTTTATCATGAGGAGAGGTAGACCTCCAATTGGCCGGGATCAGCTCGAAGACAGATTGGACAGACTGGAAAGATTAGTTGAAGGTTTGGCCCGCGAGTTGAGGCAAACAAGATAGCAATACGCTAGTGCTACGTCGACTCAGGCCGAGTAGACCAACGGCCGAAATGTAGTTCCGCCTCCACCTCCTCCAGTGCCGCAAGTTCCTCCGCAGCCAGCCTTATATGGGGATGGCACGATAGCTTTGATCAGGGAGTTCAAGAAAATGAAACCACCGAGATTCTCTGGGGGTATAGAGCCAATGAAGGTTGAGGCGTGGGTTTTGGAAATGGAAAAGTTGTTCGAGATCTTTCCTAGCACCGACGCTTAGAAGGTGACGTTGGCAGCATTCACCTTAGATGATGACGCTCGCAGATGGTGGATGATGGTTCGAGAAAGCAATCCAGATCTGACCTGGACCTGATTTTTAGAGTTATTCTACAACAAACACTTTCCCCTAAGTGTTCGAAACTGTAACAACCCTCATACTGTTTACTGATTGATGACTGATTAACCGCTAATTACTGTTAACCGAGACTGATTTTGACTGATAATTGAACTACCTAAGGTACTGAACTGACTGACTGAAAACTGGAATCGCACCTCACATGGCCAACGATGAATACATGAAGGCCAGGAAGTTCGAGAGTGGGCTTCGTGGACCGATTCAAGACCGGGTTAACTTGCATAATATGCCGACTTACGTCGAAGTGTTGGACAAAGCCATTTTAGCCGGAGCTAACCTGAATCGATACCAGAGCTCGGGGGAGAACCAGTGAAAGAGACAGAACTATGACAATCGCCGAGCACAGCTGGGCACCAAGAAGAAGACGAACATGGGCAGTGCTGGTAACCTAAGGCAGGAAGGTAATACTAAACCGACGTGTTCGGATTGTGGGAAGCAACATTTCGGGGTTTGTCGTCGGACGTCTGGAGCTTGTTATGAATGTGGCGAAATGGGTCATTATGCGAAAGGTTGCCCTAAGACAAAGGCTGATAACAACAAGAAAGGTGAGAATACCTCGGGTTCCGTTCAGAAGGGTAATGTTGGAAACGGGCAGATGAGACAGGGCAGAGTATTTGCGCTAGTACCAGGGGACACTCAGAATACTGAGACAGTGGTGTCAGGTATACTCCTAATTTGCTCCCAAGATGCCTATGTGTTGATTGATTCAGGTTCTACGCATTCGTTTGTATCTGCTAAGTTTGCCGAGAAAATTAATAGAGAACTAGAGCCCCTTGATTATGTATTATCTGTGTCTACTCCATCTGGGAGATCTATGATTGTTGTATCCATTTATAGAGCATGTGTTGTTGTGATTGAGAATGTTGAATTGTTAGTAGATTTAATGCCTTTGGACATAACTCATTTTGATGTTATACTGGGAATGGATTGGTTAGTCGCAAATCATGCATCTATTAATTGTGTTTCGAAAAGTGTCACATTGAGACCCCCAAACCTAGCCGAGGTCACG